AGTTGGACAAAAACAAGTCACAAATGTGTAGCATTTTGCTTTGGGAAATAGTAGTTACCCATATTTGCTAGTATGTGACATTTTAAAAACAAAGATTTCCATTGACTGCCCCCTTGCAACTTGCCAGAGCCGAAGGTATCATGAGGAATCAGTTCAACTCAAATCCAAACATACAGTAACAGTACAGTAAGAAATAATGCAGGCATATTAAAACGACTTAATTTGAAGAGCTGCTGCTGTAATTTTAGTTACATTAGCTATAAATAGAACTAATGGACGTAATCCTCTGCTGATTCAAATGTATAAATGCAACTACTTACTGCATCCACTGAGCCTCAAATCTCTGATAACTATTTAACTGAACTGACTATGTGGAAACATGAACATAAACGAAACCTTTGTCAAAACATCATTACACGTAGTGCAGTAATAATATGTAAACATGCATTTAAAAAGAATCACCTCCGCCCGATAGCTGTCATGGGTGTCATGGCACAATGCTATCTACTATGAGACAGCAACTGGAGTATCCAAGTCTGTGGCTGCAGAAAATACAGTGGACTCATTTTATAAACGGTAAACTCTCGTGATTAGTCTTTTCTGCTGTACTCGGAAAATGTTTAACTTACTATCTGGTTAATCTCTCAACCCACGTTCCATGTGCTCACAACCTGTTTTGAATTCACTTCCGGGGTTGTAGCTGGGGGCTGGCCTACAGCAGTGACGTAAGAGCCGCGAAAATCAAAAAATATCAACTTGGAGTGACTAATTCTATCCGAGTAGCTACATTATTCGGCTCAAAATAAACGAAACAACAGGGGAACCATGGATGGAGCGGATTCTAAAGGTAACTTTGTCCGTACTACGATAACTAGCTTACTGAAAATGCTAGCTATCTTTTACAAGGCTTTGTTGTGATGCTGTTAGCTAATGCTATCTTAAGCAAGCAATGCAGCTTTTGAGCCTAATATCGACAACTCTCACCTTTTTATTTTGGAGTTAATAGGAATATTTTATTCTCAGGTGTTCTGAATCAGCTGAGTGTGCTGGAGGTTCGGGCAAGAAGCCGTAATACTCAGCCTCAGCAGCAGTGTTGTGTGAAAGAGCTACGGGCTAAAGCAGAAGCGCTGAAGATCCAGCGAGACCAGCTGGAGGCAGAGGCACAGATACACAAGGTGCCAGGATTCATGGTGACAGAAAAGATTGATTTAAAAGTGAAGGGAGGATGCTTTCAAAAATAATGTCCAGGGAGAACATTATTGCTGAACTGTAGAAAGTACGATTTATGGCAGAACTGTGCAGTGAAATTGCAGTAGGTGTACTGAACAAGTAGGTGCCAAGGCATCGTAGCTATTTCATGTAATAAGATCTGTGTTGTTGAGGCATCTCACTGAGCACTGCTGCCTGTTGGAGCAAACCCATATGTCACCCTGGGTTGCTGGTTACACTGTCCTGCTATAGGTTCTTCACAAACTGAGGATGTCTATGGAAAAACAGTGTCCGCATGAAGAAGAGGAAGCGATGGATGAAGAGTCTGAGAACACACAGCTTTTGCAGCTAATGGCCAGACATACACAACTGAAAGACCTTCTGTATGCTCATCATGTCATTGGTACTGGAGAACACAAATTATTATTATTATTATTATTATTATTGTGTTTTTGCATGTCATTTACCTAGTTATTGTTTAATTAAGATAAGATAATCCTTTATTGACATTGTAACACATACAACGAGAATGACATCAATGCCATCTAAATATAATATATGGATGTCCTAGATATGTGTATTATCAGTCTGTCTTAATCCTCTGTCCTCACCTTCTCTGTTTATCTGTTGATGTTACTAGGTGGGTACGATGTCATAAAGACTCCTCAAAGCAAAGGAGTCTGCATGTCCCTGACGACGGCTTACGAGGGCATTTATTTAGACACCTACAACCTGGAGATAGACCTGAAACACAAGCTGACGATCACCCGTCATAACATCCCACCCTTTATTCCCCTGAAAGACCTGGCTAAACAGAGCAACATGCAGACAAATATAAGAGCTTTTCTGGACACACTCAGCCTGCATCTCAATGCTTTTACTGGTCGCAAGCAGCAGCTGAAGTTTGTTAAGGTGCGAGGCTACTTTTTAATTAATGTCTCACAAAATGTTTCAGAGTAGTTTTCAGTAGTTGTTAAGAGGCTGTGGTGGTACCACCCTCAAATACAAAACAACGAGACTGAGTCAGGTTTTAGCACCTGCCTGGACAGCCTTTAAACAAGTCTCTTTGGGTTTTGGACTGTGTGTCAGACAAAATAAAGAATTAAATACATTTTATGGACCAAAATATTAACTGGGAAAATAATCTGCAGCCTATAAAACATATATGCGCTGCGGTTTCTTTTTGCTATTCTGACAACATACTGTTATGATACTAGTATATCTGGGATAAGCTGACACTGGCCAAATGAACTTAATTTTCTTATACCACAACATTTAAGAAAGTTTAGGCGAAGAAACTCTGTACACTACTGCTTTAAGTTTCTCTCATAGGAAGCAGAACTGTGGTAAAATTAACAGTCTCATAGTAGGATTGCATATTATTTTTCCTCAGAGAATATCACACTGACCCTGTCCTACTGCTTGTTTATAGGAGCAACATCAGTCCATCACAGTGATGGAGAGTAATGTTTTGTGTTCAAGATTGGTGCTGATGTTCACTGTGCCAAGAGGGAAGAATGCGGTACTCTGCAGACTGGACTACACAGACCACACCAGATGTCTTCCCACAGGAGTCCAGTTTGTATGTGAAGGTAGGACTGTTAAAACTAAAAAAGATATGTGTGAGATATACCGATTACCTATAACATTATGACCACTGACAGGTGGAGTGAATAACATTCATTAGCTCATTACAATCAGTGGCGTATATTAGGCAAATTTAAAAATGGTATCACTAATTCATTTTCTAAAATATATGGGTATTATGGACTCACATGTCATTGTAATATTCAATATTTTTATACTTTGGCAGATGAGGAGCTTCTTGATTCTCCAGAGTGGAAGAAGAACTGCAGCCTACTCAAAGAAACACCTGTGCACAAAGCTTTGACAACCATGAAAAAGAATGGGAGTATTGTGTAATTTATTCAGAAGTGAAGCATTGAATGTGTATAAAAAGCAGTGTTTTTACACTTTCATAGAAATGCACATACTCATTGTTTATAATGAAATGCTATCAGTTAAACTTTTTGTGCATTGAGGAATGGTGGTGTCAATAGTGACTCCAAACATTCAGGTGACCCTCTTGTGTAACATTTCCCTCTGAATAAATGTCATCCTCTCCTTTACCTTTC